TGAACTTCCGCAAAAACAGACAAAACTTGTTTCCTTTGGGAACAGTCACAAACACATGCTTCTTCCTTCTCAACTGCCACTCAATCACATTACAACATAGCAACCAAATAGAAGCTCTGTTCTGTTTGGGAGAAGGGTTGTTGATCACTATACAGTGTGGCTGCAATCTCTCCAGTTGCTGCCAGATACCATCTTGACCCTTCATAGTGGAAAAGTTGTATCCTGCCTTGAAATCCATAGGAGATGCAACTTTAACACCATTCTTTGAAAGGAACCAAGATAATCCACTGTTTCCATGAAGTAACTCAACAACATCAGGATGATCATCATTACAGAAGAAAAAGGACTGTTCTCCGAATTCGGCATCAACATACAGTTCGTGATCTTCACGCAAGTTCTCCGGATTCTCATCGTCTAATGCCGGAATGGAAACATCATGCCACTCATCGTGATCACGTCTAACCTTTGACTGATTCACACGTATCACTGCCTTACCAGTGTTGGCTTGGACCATAGCTCCTTCTTGTCCAAGTACTGTGGCACGAACCCAACGTCCTTTATCCTGAGTCCAAACAAAAACCTTCTCTCCTTGGAAATAAGGACCGTCACTTGGCATAGTCCTTCTTGCAAGATCTGCTCGAAGGTCCTGAGCTTGTCGTGCTTCTTGATGAGCTCTCAAAGCTATACGTTGTAGTTCCAGATTTGTACGATCTTGTGCGGCTGCACTAGCTGACAATTGCTCAGGGCTTGCGGTCTCAAGGTCAAAAAGATCTGGTGGACGTCTTCCAGTTGCTATCTCTATTGGTGAATATCCACTGATAGTCAACTGACAATTTCTTGCCCAAACTACTTTCTTGACCACTTCTCTGACCGTAACACCACGAAAACGTGGGTCATCCAGATCTACCTTCATAACATGCCACATACGTTTGAACAAACGTACAGCTGTCTCTGCTCGGTTCGGCCAAGGAGTTCTTGGCCCACAAGGACATTGTTGTATACCATGGAACCTGTAGTATTCAACAAAAGCATCTGTGAAAAAGGCTTCGTCTCCTACGATGGCCTTTGGAACACAGTTGTTCTCATCAGACCACTGCCTCAATGCTTGGATGGTGGTTTGATCTATGAGGTCTTTCTGTGCCGTAGCCCAGAGAAGATTTGTGGCACCATCAAGAACAAGTAAGATGATATACTTGTTCTTGTGAAGTTCAACCTCACAATGATCAGCAAAAACAACATCACCAAAACATGAAGCTCTAATACCGGAGACTCTGGCTCGTGGCGGAGGTGCCACTGAAGTGTTACAAACACGGCAGTTCCTGACAACTGATTCATACTTCTCTAAAACAGAGTCAGGAAGCTTCAACATAGAAACACGTCTACGAAACTGAGTAGGACTCATATGGTAGTGCTTCACATGAAGCTTATAAAGCTCTACCTTGTCCTCCAGTCTCTGTAACATCTTCCTATATGCCGGTGTCATTGCAACAACTTCACTACCAGGTAATGGGATTGAAATCCGCCTAGGCTCAAGAGCGCCATCACCTGGTTCAAGTGGTTCATGTTTATCACTTGATGGTCCTTTTGATGCTTTAGGAATTTCTACAAGTTCACCTTCTGGCCTCTCAGGTGGTTCTGAGGGAACATACTCCTCAAGATCATCACCCTTTAAACCATTCTGAGGCTCAGATGGTTTCGACTTGTGTCCTTTCCAAAATGGATCAAAACCCTTGGAAGTATACCGAAACTTTGGCGGCACGGGCTTTTCCGCGGCACTGGATGGTGCACCTTCCTTCTCTGACGAGAAGCCTGGTTCCCTGTCCTTTGCAATGGGAACCTTCTCTGAGGAGGAGCGCACCACTGCATCGGGATCACCAATGCCACGGTGCTCAATGCCAGCCTTCCTGATCTTTAGATCTGGAATTTTGGCATCTGGCTTAAATTTAAAAATTGTTCTGCCACGCCATTCACAGCCAAGTTGTAGGTCCTTCCATTTTGCCTTGCGCCAATCATCTGTCTTCTTGATTTCTTCTCCTCCTGCTTTCTTCTTGATGATTGTTAGTCGCAAGTCTTCCAGCAAGTCAGTGTCTACAGGACAGGACTTAGTTGCTGGGAAAAGAATTTTCCTGTAATCCTTGTGGTGACGTATCAGTTCTCTCTTGTGAACATCTACTTCCCAGAAATCAACCACAGGATATGCATGCTCAGCTTCACCTTCATCACTATTGTGTTCAACAGAAATATGGCCATATTCATAGTGAGTGAGGTGAGAGTAAAAACTCTTCTCACGCTGAGTCTGCCAACGCACGTCAGACAGATACCATGCAATATCTTGGAAGTCCAACACAAGATGAGTACTGGCTGCAACCTTCAACTCCAAAAATTTGATACCAAGAGGCACCGATGTCAGATAAGCATGTCGAGGTGTCAGCCTGAGTTCAAAGCCTAAGTTCCTCATCTGTGGCAAGCTCATAAGCAAAGGGACTTCTCCTTCTTCCACTATGTCGAACTCTGTATGGTGGATCGTCCATGCACGATCATACATATAAATCACCAGTTTCTGAGAGCAAGTAGCCTTCTGGGAATTGGCAAAGTAAAACTTGCTCTTGGTAGACTCAAAAGAGTACCATAATCCACAATCTGGGTGATTGTCGACATAGTTACAAAAATGGTCGACTGCTCGCCTTGATCCCATAGCTCTAGTGCATCCAATGTCCAGGATTGCAATAGTTGGCGGGAAGCGATTCTCAGTCAAAAATGAAATAGCCTGCATCTCCTTCACTTCTTCCTCAGCGCTCATAAGCGCAAAGCCATCAGCGCTCATAAGCGCAAAGCCATCAGGAGCCTTTGCGAGCATCTCCTTTGACAAAGAGTACCTCACAGGGGCACTCATGTCATCGAAGATCATCTCACCATTGTTGACCACGCAGTCAGCTTTATCTTGGCATGAGGTCATCATGCCTGACAGCAAGTCCACCTCACTGTCATGGACTTCAGCTGCTGCTGTCACACAATGTGCTAAGAAAACTTGTTGACCTCCTGATGCTTGTGAAGTTCTTGAAGGTGCAGGTAAAGAACGTGGCTGTTGTTGATTTGCATAGTTTGCATCTTGTTTGCCATCTCCTTTATCTTTTCCTTTTCCTTTCTTGCCTTTTCTCTTGCCTTTTCCTTTTCCTTTGTGGGAAAACCATGCTTCTTCAAGCTGTTGCCAAAAGTCATTGGCATCATCATATTCTCCTTGAAGATAGTCATTCATATCCTCGGCAAGAATGGCATCATATGCTCCTTGGGTTGACTCCCAAGTGTCCTCATAAGGATTCTCTTCAAGGTATTCATCTGGAAAAGTTGTCTGTTGCTCATCAGCAAAATGGCCTTTACCTCGTCTCTTTCCTTTTCCTTTTCCACGAGGTCTGAAGAATCTGCGGCCTGATCTTCCTTTTCCTTTTCCTTTTCTTCTACCTTTTCCTTTGCCTTTTCTGGCTCTTCTTCCTTGGAATCTCCTTTGGAACCACGAGAAGTTTTGATCATCATATACCCAAAAGACATCGTCCAGGGCATCTAAAAAATCCTTCTGTTCCATCTTCTTCATCTTCGGCCCAATAGCCAAATGTACCATCGAGTTCTCCTTCGTCTAGTACGAGAAATGATCTTCTACCTCCAGCACCTGTCGGCTGCATCAATGGATTGTCTACTGAAGTCTTTGTCGTGCAGAACATCTCGATGAACACTGTCCTCAACTCTGTTGTGGTGTATTGCTGCAGGTACCTGCCACGATGAGTCATCAACGAAGTCAAAGTGTTTCGCTGGTCCTGAGACAAATCTGCAAGGGACAGCATGAGTAGGGCAATGAGATTCTCTCCTAAAGGAAAATCATTCTGATGAAGAATTCTCATATTGCCATTGACATTCTGCATGATTTCCTGAATCCTTTCTGCCGTTGGTGCTACTCCAGTCAACGCTGCATCTGCCTGCATCTGAGCAAGGACTTGGGGATGTGCTTGAGTGACTGGTTCTAACATGTCCATCCAACTGCTCATAAGCCTTTGGAGTAAAATCTGGAATCTTGTCATCCATTTCATCATGTCGGCTGATCCTCGATTGAATCGCACGAATTGCATGAACCTGTATAGGAATACATTGGTTGATCCTTTCACGAAATATGGTCGTAGTACTCGTTTGAAGTAATCTACTCCTGCTCCTGGTGGCTCATTAGCCTTCAATGAATCTCTGTCTAATATACGTTTGTATACTGCTGCTTCTCCTTCTAATCTGTTTCTCAAAGCTGGTCCTCTCTTCTCATCTTCCAGCTCGGTGATATCACACCAATCGTCTATGGCATCCTCATAGGAAAACCATGAAGTCTTTCCATCATAAGATGGGGGCACCTTTGTAGTGACCTGTGTTGTCATTGCTATTGCTGCTGGTTCTCTTCTCACATGCCTATTCACGTAGGCTGCTGGCTCATAAGCCACATCCGCATCAGGCTCTTCCCAGTCGTCAATCCAATCCATGGCCGTTTGCCCACAAGCAATTCTATGCCTAGGAAAGGAGCTCACCTGGGTCTTCCAGGATCACTGCTCCGCTACCACTGAAAGAGTGACTAGGGCGTACACGGTAGAGGTGCAGACCGCTAGTGTCTTTTATGCGCAGAGTCTTATCCTCTTGCTCTTTAGGTCCATTGACCCTCTCTTGAGCCTTGAAGCAGTCAAGCATGGACACACTATATCAGCTGTTGGAGTGGAACCCTGTACAGGTAGGCTCTACTTTTCAGGGGGGGAGGGGGGGGGGGGGGGGGGGCTTCGGCCTGAAAGATCAGGGGTTAGGATTTGCACCCGATCGAAAGAAACCTTGCTATCGCAAGAGTAACTCCAGCTAGCTTCGCTAGCTTTCGTGATGAGTTGCTTGGACTCGGCCCCGTTTCCGGCAAGTCACGTGGTTCCCGTGACGTCGGTGCCCTTCCCTCGGACGGGTCGCCCCTTCTGAGAAGCTCGCCAGCCCAGGCTGCAGAAGCACAAGCTACGAGTGTCATCATCCCAATTGAGCCTCAATTGCTCAAGTCAAACAAACAGTTCGTTGACCAGAAAGTTGAAAGGCACAGACAAGAACACCAGAACGCGCGTTTCTAAAGCGTTGCAAAGTGGTCATCATGATCAGATCAACTGGGGTGCGCTGGGCTTCGTTTGAAGGGTTGATGTGCCAAGAGGTTGAACACAGACCCCAGATGCTCCTCCATGTATGCAGTATATACCTACATTGACCCCTGAAACCACCCCAATGCATAAATATGCTGTACATGGATATACATGGAGCTTGGGATGGTTTGGGAAGGGAAAAGCGATTGGTGTTGCTTTCCCTAGGGCTCCAAGTGCCTCCTCAGAAGGTGTTTGGACCCTCTAAACCCACCCCAATCTCACCTTCTTAGAAGGTACGACTGGACCCTAGGGTTTCACTATCTACACGGTTCGAAGCACCGCAGTGACCGCTGCCGTGTCCTCAGGAGCTTGGGCGAGGATGGAGAAACACCTGGCTCAAAGATTCGGAGCATGACCGGAGAAGCCCGGAGTGTCGAAGCCCGAGCGTCCCGGGGTCGGTGGCATCCAACCTGGTCGCCCTTTTTGGGGGGGATGGGTTTTCCCCACTCAACTCGAACAGCCCTATAGGGATCCAGTCGTACCTTCTCAGAAGGTACTTGGACCCTCCTGGCACCCACATAACAGTCTCTCCAATCACCTGAGGTTCGGTACGACTGGATCCCTAGGGGCTGGACAGTTGGATTTTCGGATCGATTTTCGGAACGGTTTTAGGTCCGTCAGGTCGTCCAGTCGACTCTTTGTGGGCAGGTCTTTCCAGTCCGGTCGCACCGTGGGCCCCCGACCAGAAGAGGACAAACAAAAACATTGAAAAGAAGAACGTGGCACGTTTTGAGTGGCTCCTTTGATGGATTTTTCACCCTAAAAAACAACTCGACTGGGTGAAAACGCCGTCGGTGGGAGGTTTCTACACATTTCTACGTATATACTCATATATGCGGTCTAGAAATGTCTAAAATGTATTGATCGTCAGATGTAGTCATCCCGCATAAAGATCAAAACATGTCAAAACAAATTCATTTTCCAACCATCAGCTCGTCATAAACTCTGTTCAATCACTTCGTGCATTGGCAACGCAACGGCATTGGTTCAGAGACCTTGTCGTCCAGCATGGTCCAGACACAAACATTTGCTCAACAAGACACTGGAACGCAGAAGTGGGTTGAAACTCAAATGAGATGGATCCTGAATGCAAGAGCTTGTCATCTACAACTGTGCCTCCCTAATATTCCCTAATTACAGATCATCGAGGTGCAACTCGACAAGCACTCATGGATACCTTTGGTTCATCAGCGACGATGAATGTCAAAGCATCGGGGCCAAAGAAATTGTTTAGACAAGCAAGAGTCCGACGCCCTGGACAAAGGGGGAACAGACTCAAACCCATTGGTTGGCTAGTTCGTTGGTTGAATCCGGCGTCCAATTATAGCAGGTCGACCCTCGTGTTCCAGCACTTCTCCGAATGTAGCACTTCTCCACCGGGCTCCGAAAATCATCGGTCGCGTCGTGGCATTGTGCTGCTGGACGCCGAGGAAAGCAGTGAGGCCTTGTCTGCTGCGGAAAGTGGGGCCTCGGAAGACCGACCCGGGCTTTATGCCATACCAAGTGTGGACAAGATGACGAGGACGCCTTCCACCTCCAGGAAAAGCAGGTTCCTTTTTACCAGCGGCCGTAATATTAGCCCCTTGGGAAGATCAGATGCCAAAAAGGTTGATATTTGTGGATGGAGGGGCCAAAAAAGATCACTGGAAGACCTGACACTATTGACCGTTTGGAAGGTGAAGGCCATTGGAACAATCAAGCACTTTAACTTGAGTCCCCCAAAGGATGCCCTGGTCCGTATGGTATCTCTGCTCTTAGCATTTTTGATCAGACTTGCGCGATCATTTCAGCCACCCCTACTCTCTTCATCTCGCCAAGGCTCGCGAGATGAGGACAGTGAGGAGTCAGAGGGATCCAAACGGCGCTGTGCCAAGTTGTTGGCGAATCCCAAGTTCGAGGCGCCAACAACGGAGCGCCCGCTGGCTGTTTTTGGAGAGTGCCGGGCAAGGATCAGGATCCACCGGGCGGCCATGCTCTACATTACCAATTCAACATCCAATAACATCCAATAACTACCAACCACACTGTACACTTAACATCACTTAACCTTAACTATGTGGAGGGGTCGTGGGTTTGGGGGGGCCGGGTCGGTGTTGCGCAAAGGTCGACACTTGGTAAAAATGATCAAAGGGGTGCTCAGTGGAAGCACAGAAGTCGTGTGGCCACAGTGCATTGGTGACTTTTTGGATGGTACCGGTAAGTAGGTGTGCATAGTCTTTGCTATGACTGTTGTTTCCGAAGTTGTTTGTTGCTATCATTTGAGCATGCGTTTGCTCCACTGGATGGTGTTGTTATGTACCCTCCGCTGAGTGGAATTAATCGAGGGGGGGCTCTACTCAATTATGTTTTCTCAATTAATAAAATCTTCCTCCGAGAATGTCGTAGAAATTCATGTTGGAGAAGATGTTGGATAAAGACAATTAATCGGGACTTTCCCCGGCATTCCCCGGCTGTGCCTTGGATCAAGCTAGGGAAAGGTCCGTTGAAAAACAATCAGACCCCTCAATTAATATTCTCTTCCCTCATATTTTCTCAAAAAATGCACTGCGCCGAAATCCCCTCTAGTCAAATCCACTATTGCTTTGCCTTGGGCAGAGTCTTTCAGCGTGCCTCACATATCACATCGTATCACGTTGGCATGGCTGCTTGGCGAACCAGCGTTTCGTGCGTATTTGTTTTCGTATGTTTTCGCGTGTCGATTGAAAGTTAATTGAGAGGTTGCCTAGGGGCTGTTTGTTTAGGGGGGGGGCCCAAGAAAAGCCTATAGAAAATTAATCGAGGGCCTACCTAGGGTCGATTAATATTCATCAAAACTGTACTGGCCCCCCTCAATCAATTTTGTTTATTAATTGAGGGGAGGCCCACCAGGGCCCCCTCTAACACGGGGGCATGTTTTGTTAGGAAAGGACGAGCCTATACTGTGCCCAGGGCCATTCCCCTGAACCAATTCTACAGGGTTTTGCAGCTTTGTGTTTCTTATGCAGCAGGTGTTCCATTATGGTCCTACAAAGTCCTACATAATTCTACTTGTTAAATGCAGTTCTTTGCCGGTTTCATGATTATTTTACATTGTTGTCTTGTTCTTTTACAGTTTTTTTCTCCTATAATCCGTTATTGCGTCCTATTTGTGTTCTTCTTCCGGAACTTCTTTGCCTTCATTACCGTCCTTTGTCCCATGCAACTCTTTGTGGTCCTTCTAGGGGAACCACTTATAACTTATATGACCATTCATACATTTCTCGTAAATTATTACCTAACTCCTTTGATAATATATGGTCCTCCAAGTGGTCCTCCACTTCAGCATTTCCCTTGCTCCTTACCAGGACCACTATCTGGCTCAATTGCCAAGACTGAACCCTCCATACAAGGCCCTGGCTAGACATCATTTGGTGACTCCCCACACCCCTGTTCCATCATTTCTTCATCATGACCACCTGAAGTGAACAAGCTTTGCCCCACCGGCCGTTGGTCACAGCGCTTTGACCTGGAACACACTTGTTGCGCCTCAACGCAGGGTACTCGACTCAACGTGGGGTTCACGTCCTCGGTTCGGTCGGAGGCGGCGATTTGCCTGATGATTTTCGCCAACGCGGTGGTCTTTGCCTTGGAGTCGCAGTGGCTTGGCAAAGGGCACGAAAAGCGTTTTCAGGGCTGCGGAGAAGAACGAAACCGAAGGATTCTTGCTGATGGCATTTGATGGCCCAATGGCATTTGATGGCCCACTGTGTAGATAATCAGCTGTGATACGATCGTGCACACAATTGAAAGAGCAGCGGCCAGTCGTGTTGCATTGTCTCCAGGAACACAGGCATGGAGTTTGGCTACGGCGTCTTCGGCGGAGATTTACCTGGGCTTTTTTGGACAGGTGGGGACACCTTCTTTAATGTCTTGGAGATGTTCTTTGGCGTCGTCTTCACACTGGAGGTGGTGCTCAGGCTCTATGCGTCTCGGCCTCGTTGGCGTTGCTTCTAAAAACACATGTCGAACAAGCGAGTTAAATCATGTTGAACATGTTTGACCAAAGTACCAAAGTACCAAAACTGCACAGGCCTATGTCCCCAGAGTGGCTGAGGTCAGGCCATGGGGTTTGTGCAGTTTGGGTATTTTTGGTTTTCGAGAGAGAACCAAACGTACCAAAGTACCAAAACTGCAGACCTCATGACCTGGAGAACCAAGGCGCCAAAGTAGCAGACCCCATGACCGGGGGAACCAAAGTACCAAAGTACCAAAATTGCACAGGCCTATGTCAGGTCAGGCCATGGGGTTTGTGCAGTTTTGGTACTTTGGTACTTTGGTAGTCGAGATCATTTAAAAGCAGGCGGTTCTTTGGGGGGCTAGCATAATTACTATATATATATATAATATATATCATATATCTTTTTAAATATTCGCCATTTCGCAGCAGCCAACCAGCAGCCAACAGATGCAAGCTTTGGCAGAAAAAAACGCAAAAAACCTTCTCGTCCCAGGTCCGGAGGTGTCACTTCTTTTGTGGCATGTGGAATTGGTTGGACTTCTTGATCGTGCCTAGGACCAAGTGTGATGGAAGGGACTGGGGTTGGGGTCGGATCGAGGCTGGAGCACGGGAGTGGTTGAGGCATCAGATTCCGAGTACACCATGTTGAACCACTTGTTAGTTGTCTTTTTTGACAGTGACATTCCTTGGAGGAAAAGACGGGCTATGAGATGGACTGTTTGCCTCTGATTGTGTCTTTCTTGTCGGCACCCTTCAGAGAACTGCTTTGCATTGCATTGCTGGTATGGTCACCGATACGGTTGGCAAACTCCCCCAGATGTAGTTGACTTGTATTTTTGTCTTGCAGGATGACCGATCTGGCTTGCATGTTTGCAGGTAGGTGGGTTGATGTGGGTTGTATTGTATGTGGTTGTATTGGCAAATGAATCATGCGCCGCGTGCGGCGGGGTTGCCAACCGTATGACTTTGTGACTGTGTGCCTGGTGCACACCTGGTCCACATCATCTTGAGTCGTTCTTCCCACCAATCTGACCAATCTTGCAAAACGGTTCCAATTCTTTCCATTTTTTTGTCGATTCTGCGAGCTTGGCAAATCTCCAGCCACGCGATGTTTCCACACTGGGTGAAGCATATCCCATATACTCCATGGGACTGGAATATATGCCGCCCCATTGGCCCCCAGAACAACAACCCCAACTGGTCGGCAATGGCAGTCCCAGAAACGGTGTGTTTGGGTTTGTTTGCAGATCTGTACCACCTAAGTGGGCCGTCGGCCATGGGTTCCTCCTGGTTTGGCCATTTGGCCCCCACCAAGCTGGCCACACGCAACACCGCATCCACCGGCACTGAGGTCTTGGTGTGGTTCATCAGCAAGATCGCCGAAGACGCCATGCCCGTGAACTCCCAGGTCTTACGCTTGGCCCGGCTCATCCGATGCTCGGCGGAGATTGAGCCTTCTGCTCCGTCGGTGGAGCCATTGGGGTTGAACTCAAAGTTGAAGTCTGTACCAGCACTCTCCTGGCCAGGCTGTTAGTTGAGGGTTGTTGGACCCTGTCTCAGGTCTCAATTGGTGACCTGTCGGAGGGTCCTGGTTTTTCGGTCTTAGTTTTGAAGAGCTTACAAGGATTCACAAGGCTACATGGACAGCGCCCTGAGCCATTGGTCGCTTTTCGCGGCCAGCTTGTTGAGCGCACCCAGCTTGTTGAAGATTGAGCCGTAAAGCATGGTCAAGCAAAATCTCCTGTTAGGTGGACTGACTAAGCTACTACCAAGTGGGAACCAAGACATTCCCGTTGGGAGCTTGAGCAAAGAGCTCGTAGGCATTTGATTTTTGATTACATTCGCCTATTCCTGTGCAACTCTCAAGGTGACGAGACTATACTAATTGCTGGGACGCGACTACATGGTGGTCCTGTGGTCCTCCATTTGTGCTTGAAGTTGCATCCCACCAAGAACACTGAGTGGGAGGCTTTCCTATCCAGTCAGTCAGTGGATAACCCTGGATCGCCGTGAACCCTTTTGGGGAAGGTAACCCTTGATTTTTTGTTGCAGGAAAACAATTCAGCTTGAATGTCTTGTTCACCCTCAATGTTTCTTCAGGCTCGCTGAGTTCCTGCTTAGTCTTGCCACAGGACCCAGCCCAGGTAGGGTAAGATGACTTCCATCGGGGGTCACCCCAACGACCAGCACCATCCTGCACTACTTGTAGGTGTTATTTTAGATGAGGCATGAGGCATGACAAAACATATTGTTTGGGGCATTTTTGGGCTGAAGCTTTGGATGTTGGTATTTTTTCTTTCGAACATCGTCGTCGCTCTGAGATGAATCAGTGAAGGCAAGAACTTTTGGAAACAACGCCGAAAGGACAACTTCGCGATGATGAGACATTTGCCTGGTTCATCTATCCTTATGAACAGTGGCCAACTTCTATTAGAGTGACCCCAGGATAGGGCCGACAAGTATTTGTTGGTACCATTTGGAATTTGGAGAGCTGTCTTTAATTGGCGATTTTCTAAGAACCGACGATCTCCGCATCCTCCCGGAGCTGCATTGGCCTCCGCATGGCGACTGCCTCCGCCCAGGACTCTTTCGGCTTCTTCGCTTGGTCCGGCGCATCCAGCAGTTCGACAGTCGCCCGGACGGACGGACGTCCTTCGCAGTTCACGAAAACTCGTCGTCGGTCATTGCGAGTGGTGGGATCCAAGGAGGAGGGTTTTGGACAAAATATCATCCCGCGTGAACACGGTGAAAGAAATCATAGCCGGCCTGTCAGCTGTTTTGCTTTTCTTGTTTTTTGGTCTTTTGTTTCTTCCATGCTTGCAAGAGCGTTTGTAAGACTTGAGGACGTTGTTGCTAGCAGGGGGGCGCCATCCCACAAGATGCGGTCCCTTTGGGATGGTCCCTTTGACCGTTTTCGACGCCTGGACGTCTATCTGCAGATGTATCGGTCGACCTCAAAGCCATCCGAATGGGAAGTGGGTCGGAGCTGAGCCCACCCCATCGGTCAGGAGCGAATGTCCCAGGTCTTGGGCTCTACGTGTTTGACGCGGAAGCCGGCGGTTCCCCCGTCCACGGACCGACGGAATGCCGGACCCAAGGGTCCAGGACCATCCTGAGGATACCCTTTGACCCCCCACGACCATTCTCTGGAAGTACTTTCAGCTCCAAGACCATCCTCAGGAGGTACCTGGACCCTATGGGATATATGAATCCATATCTGATGTGTCTAGTCATGTGTTCTATATATCTATATATCAATCTGATGGAGTCTGTACGCTAAAGAGACCAGCCTCGCAATTGTTGGTGTTTTTCCAAACCGGGGGTCTCCATTACGACCGGACTCATGAGCTACGGCGTTTCCCTCACCTTGTTGGTGTGCAGCGAACGCCCGCTGTGCAATCCCGCTGTGCATCGGAGATGTCGACTTCGGATGGCCGGCTGTCGATGTCGATGTGCTGCAGCAGACCCCAACCACACCCAAACAAACAAAAAGACAACATTCCCATACATTCCCACCGTGTCCGTCAGTTCAGGCTCACCTGGCAGGAAAATCCACCAGACATGACAAATCCACCCACCAAGTACAAAAACAAGATGCGTGTAACTGCCAATGTGGGACGATGGATCAACAATCCATGAGGTCTCTATTTGATGTCCACAGCGATCCGGAGTAGCTTTGGAATTTTGGGCTGGACTGCTGCCTTGCTCTTCATCATCCAGATGCTTTTTGCGCCTTTGATGCAGTTGCTGCAGTTGAGCTTCCGGCCAGTCTGACTCAGTCACCCTAAGTACCTCGAATGGGCCGTCAGCATGAAGAGAATAAATCATGGCCTTACAGACCTTTCACTGACGGGATGACCTGCTGGTTTTGTCATCTGAAGGAAACCCAATCACCACTACGGCAGCTTCTTCAGCTCAGCCGGTTCTTCTAGCTCAGCGCCGGTTCTTCCAGCTGTGTGAGGGTGTTTGGTCCATACAAAGCACTCCGAAGAGTCCTACTCGGGTGGGCACGAAAGACCACTGACTCGGTGACCGTCGACCAGGAGAGTTCACACTGAAAAAACACACCGCGCTGAGTTCAAATCCAGACACATCGGACCCCTGAAACCACCCCAATGTAGTTAAATAGAAGTGTTTGGGAATGGTTGGTGGCTTTTTGTTGGTGCAGGCATCTTTAAACAGAGGGCATGTATCGATCTTTACTCGATTGCCGGCAATCAACAATTGAACACCATGGTCGACTCCTGCCTGTTGAGCTCCAAGATTCAGATGTCGCACGATTTTGCAAAGATATCAGCTGTATTCAGCTGTGAGAGATCAGTTAACTGTGCAGCTTGTTGAGTTAGTGTCGCCGTTCGAGGCCTTGGTCTTGAACCAAATCCTCTACGGTTTTTACTTCTCCGCAGCTTGGCCAGCTAGCTTCCAGCCCCCAGGGCTGGGCAGGTCAGACGTCGACATGGACGTGTGGACACGTGGACACGCTGGGCAGAAGACCGTTTCGATTTGGATTGGGAGGCAAACAGCAAAGAAAACAAGCATCCTTGCTGGGGCGTCGCGTTTGGGGCGTTTTTTTTGGGGCGGATGGATGACCAAGCAACATGGACCACACCTGGGCGCCGTAGCATGTCATGTTCCAGCGTTGTTCTTGTCGAAGGGGTTTTCGAAAAGAAAAAACACAAAAGAATCTGTGGTCAGCAACCGAGATATGTCGGTCACGGAGGCCAACAGATGTTGGTCATTTTTCTCTACCTCGAAGGGGTTTCCATCTCCGACATCTCTCAGGCAGAGATTGCAACCTCAGGGAATGAAGAGTTGAAAGACCGCTTCGAGCTGGCCACTTGACCCGACGGTGGTGCGTGCAGCGTTTCATACCGCTGCACCCACAGCTGTAGCCGTCCAATCCCGTCGTTGGAAGGCCTGGGGCCCGGGCCAAAGGGCGGCTTTGAGACCATCTAAAGAATAGCTCACCATCATCTGAAGCCAACATATACATGCATCGGCATCGGCCTGTGCAAAAATGATCAAACATGCGCAACATGTTTGCCCGACTTGGGCTGGTTTTCCAATGTTTTCCAAGATGAACAAGCAGACAAATCCAGGTATAACATCACCCTGGATGGTGAAGTTGGACTTGAAAACGGTTGGGGAGAGGGATTAATGTCACTTGGACCTGGTTGCCTTCACAGATCAGGTTCGATACGCTTGACATTGACCTAGCGTTTGTTACCAAAGTCTAATAGTACTAAAGTCGGTCCCTAGCAAAACCACCTTATAAAGGCCAACAGATCATACAATGGTTGTTGGATGTTGTTGGGATCCAAGGGTGGAGACGGTGGAGATAGATGATTGGCTTAGAACTGGCCCTCCCCAAGAGTTCAGTGCCACTTTCGGGGAACTGGCACAGTTCTGGTCACTTTGGAAATGCAGTCGTGCCGACGAGTCGAACGAGTCACAGCGCATGAAGCGAACCGTCCATGAAGCGAAACAAGGAGCCACGTGCCTGGACCCCCAATGGTGGTAGTTGATGGACCCCCTTGACCCCTAAGGGGCCATTAACGGACACCCTTCTGTGGCGCTGGTGAAGGATGTTCTTTTCCGAACCTGTGTTTGTACGCACACGAAGATCAAACATCAGAAACTCAGAGAAAGCGGCAAGAGTCCACATACACACAATGTGGACATCCAAGGTCTACACCTACTTTGGGACTTTCTCTCGTGCTCTTTTGACCATGTTTGAAATCACTTTGGCCAACTGGCCACCCGCTCCTCGGATGACCGGCCACGGCGGGAATTCGACGATGAACACGAAAAAGAAAGCGGACCATAAAAGCGGGATCACTCCTTTCTGGGACATTCGATATCAGCCTGTTTTGGGATGGTGAGATCTATTTTCCCCGATCCTTCCAGGGTCTTGATCTCAAGCATCCTTGCCTCCCAAGTTAACTGCGCGCCAAGCTCCGGATGCACACCTGCTAGGCCAGATGAGGTGGATGGAACCAAAAAGCCCTTGGAAAACCCTTCTGCCACTGCCCTGGCATTGAAATACTGGAAGCAAGTCCAAAACGCTTGAAATGCTCCAATCCTTTTGTGATCTAGACTCTCAACCTGTTCTGGCAAACCTTTCCCCGTCGTCACCAGGATCCATTGCTTCTTTCCAATGTTGATTCACGCCTTAAATTGCAAGGCTCACGTTCGTGTTGTTGTTGTTGTTGTTGTTGTTGTTGTTGTTGCTGTTGCTGTTGCTGTTGCTGTTGCTGTTGCTGTTGCTGTTGCTGTTGTTGTTGTTGTTGTTGTTGTTGTTGTTGTTGTTGTTGTTGTTG